GGTTGAGTTGATTTACCCTCTAAGTCTTCTTTCAATAAACATAATATACATTGATATAGTGTGTAGAGATTTAAATTAATTAGAAATGGTATTTTAAGCCAGATATGAAACTGCAGACAATTTGATATTTGAAGACAACCATCATAAACATTTACAGAACGCTATTGAAAATAAAGGCAATTATGAAAATTATAATTTTTATATTATAAATTATAAAGGCTATATATTCATATAAAAAATCCTTAAAATTGTATCAGTTTCCACAAAAACATGATCACAATGGTTTTTAACATTGATAATAATAATAATAACAAATGTTTCTTGAGCAGCAAATCAGCATATTAGAATGATTTCTGAAGGATCGTGTGACACTGAAGACTGGTGTCACAACGCTGTGTTTTAGTACACATGAACAGGATGAGGAAGGTTACAGACAGTATTTAATAATTGAAACAGGGTAAATCCAACAGGGAAAAAGTCAGTTCAACACAACTTTGGAAAGATGAGACACAACAATAGAACACAAAGAGATCGGAACTTAAGTAGGGGAGATAACCATTTAATTTATATTGACAACTAACATTAACATTAAAAATTTACAACTAAATGACAATATCAAGTGGATATCCATACCAGCGAAAGAAGGCGATATCGAAGCAGGTTCTGTTTGCAGTATCGCAGGCTGGGGACTTTTAGAAACTAATGGCAAGAGAAGAGATCACCTCATGGAGACAAATGTGACGGTCATGAATAACAAGGAGTGTGAAAGTAAATGGAGGAAGGACGACTTTTCAACTTCACAGATGATGTGTGTATATGGCAATGGAGGAAGCTGTGATGTATGTAAAAAATATTTGATTCACCAAATCTTATTGTGTGAACTGGTTTCAGTGAAGTAAAAAATTATGACAGCATGTGACTGAAGTGTTGATCTGTTTCTTAACAGGGGGATTCAGGAGGTCCTTTGGTTTGTGGAGACACTGCAGTTGGTATCAGTTCCTTTGGTGTCACGTCCACTTTCTCTCTCTCTCTCTCTCTCTCTCTCTCATAACTTATTTGAACATGATAGTACATTTGATAAAAAGTTCTGATAACAAAGCTGTTTCCTGTTGAAATCATGCACTGCCCATGTTTACCTCGTGTCAGTTTGGTAGTCTGATTATAGATTTTCTGCCAGATGTGTTGTTTTTAATACAATCGTTAAGGTATGTTAATTGTCTTCAGTTAATTTAAAAACACTCTTGCCTTAATCACAGGTGAGAATATTTTATGTTTTCTTCATTTACTGTTTTTATCCCTGGACAGAGAGTTGCGGCTGGAGCTTATGAGCCCAACTGCAGTTCTAGTTGCATGACTGTTACTGTCCAACCACATCCACCCTGGCCATGTTGACATTTCTCAGAGCAAACTATCTTTTGATGTCATCGAAATGAGTAAAAATATATTTAGAATCAACTGAATAATAGCGTAGGCTATTTAGTTGCATGTACTATAATTTTCATCTACATTTTCAGTAAGCCCTTGATCTGACATGGACTGAGTTAGAAATACTGGACCACAGAAGTAGTAAATAAATATATTAATGTATTTTTTTCAAATAAGCCTTGTAGTTATTCAATGTTCATGCTGTTTGTTTACAGCTCACTTGAATTTATTATAGATCATTAGATGTGACTTCATGATGTTCTGGATGCTGGTTTGAGAAATAGTTACCAGAAACTCAGTGTCTCCACCCACCCTCTTGTTTAGTGTTTTGTCAGTGAGAGCTCACTGATTATCTTCATGATGACCATCATCTCTCTGCTCCTGCTGGCCTCTCTGCTGCCACACCTGACCTTCACTGGTGAGACTGACTGAACTACTGAATTGATTCATCTGCTGAATAATATAATTAACAGCACTCTCTCACTTTCTCAGCTCATGTGAATGTCGGAATAGTGAACGGCACAGAAGCAAAACCCCACTCCAGACCTTACATGGTTTCTGTTCAAAAGAACTGGCTGCATACCTGTGGTGGATTCCTCATCTCTGATGAGCTTGTCTTGACTGCCGCACATTGTCGAAAGAAGTAGAGTGTATTGTTTGGAAATGTCCATCCTGGAATTTGACATTCTATAGTCTAAAAGACAAAACTGAATGTTAATATGTTAAATATATTTGATTTTAACAGTTCAGAGACTCTGACAGTCATGGTTGGTGCACATGACCTAAAAAATAAGACTGAAGGTTCTGTCTGCATCGGAGTGAAGTCCTACCACCAGCATCCAGACTTTACTGAGGATCCTGTCATGAATGACATTATGCTTTTGAGGGTAACAATCTGCACTACTTTCAGTTCAAAATCACATCTGATTAGGCAAAAATTATCAACATGACACATTTTTTCTAAAAATAATAAATAAATATCTGGGCTATATTATTTGTATGCAAGATAAAATGTAGGCTACAGTCGGTCATCGTTATAGTAAAACAAACTGGACAGCTGTATATTATCTTTTTACACACAGACAAATTTTTTTCCCCTGTGTATCATCTTAAAGCTTCTGCGATCATAAAGGATGACAGACTGCAGCTGAATCCCGCGATCGACCAATCAGAATCAAGTATTGCAAAGCGCCATGTCATAGCTAAATTACTGTCATTGTAAAATATCTTCCTTTTTAATATAAAAATAATATAAAGGATTTATACAAATGATTGGAATTTTAAAGCTTTGCAAACGTAAATGTTTTTGTTTGCATACTGTGCATACATATATAGTACTTTTCAGTGTTGGCTATCTAATCGTGCAAAAATTTATTCAGGCTGGACCAGAAAGCAAACCAGACAGACATACTTAAATCACCTTAAGGGAAATTATCCAAAAATAGTTTGCGTATAAGTTCTGATAAAATAAATAATTAGCAAAACTGCTGTTCAGTATTATTAAATATTTCTGTTATGTTTTGTACTACAGCTAGAGAAAAAAGTCACACAAAATGAGAAAGTCAACTGGATATCTATACCAATAAAAGAAGAGGAGACTGAAGTGCATTCTGTCTGCAGCGTTGCAGGCTGGGGAAGGCTGGATAATGGATCCCTTAGCAATCGTCTCATGGAAACACATGTGAAGATCATAAATAACACAAAATGTGAAAATAAATGGGGAAACGTTGACTATACAGCTTCACAGATGATGTGTACATATGGCAATGGAGGAAGTTGCACTGTAAGTACAAAAGATCATCTGTCATATTGATTGATATAAGGCCCCAAATGGTGAGCATAATATCTGTGTTTATATTGTTAACAGGGGGATTCAGGAGGTCCTTTGGTTTGTGGGAAAACTGCTGTTGGTGTCACATCTTTTGGTGACCCTAATCTCTGTAATTCCCCTGAGCTACCGGAAGTCTATATGAAGGTTTCGGCATATCTGCAATGGATACATAAGTTTATTGGAAATGTTTATTGACTTGATTTGGCCTTGAATTCACCCAAATTGTTTCAATAAATGTGTCGTATGTCAATTACCTATGAGTGGTAATTTCTTTACCCAGCCCTTGGAGACTGCAAATACGAAGGCATTTTTTTTAAATCACTTTTTTTTTTAAAGGATGGTATATTCTGATATTCTGCATTTCCTGCAGACAAGATGTTTTTACCACATTGATTCAGGAGATAGTATGATTCCTGCTCATAAGACATAGGGTAAAAACATATTGTAAAAATGCTCACTTTACTGCTGAAGACATTGGGAAGGCCTGACCGAAGGAACTAAGCATTTAAAGGCTTTTAAAGGTTTGACTTGATTATGCTGGAAGTATTTTTAACACATAAAAATTATAGCATTGTTGCTTGAACAGGACTTTGATTACAGTGCAAAAAATACTGCAATATCCCAAACTCACCACAACTCATCCTTTTTTCTTTAGTCTTCACATATATTGGTTAGTTTCCAATTAATTTCCTTTGGGTTTAAAGTGAAGACACTTTGAAGTGAAGCAGTCAAAGTTTACATTATTTAGTAAACTGGTTTCCACTTTAATAGTAAAAATACATAAACACAAATAATGTCACCATTTAAAAAAATAATAATGTTTTGTTATATCTTTTGGCGCAATGACACCGCCATCTTGTAATACCACAGCGTGACATCACATGTTGGTTCACTCTGTTGGGCAGTGAATACAAGCATTTCTTTACTATTTTCACGCTTGTTTTGAAATGGAGGAATGTGAACTTGAAAAGATTGTTGAGCCCATAATAAGTCCAATTGCTTATTCATTTGAGCCGATACAGTGAGGGGACCGAGCAGTAATATTGTTACTGGTGCAAGTTGTGAACCTGCTGGTTTGGAAACAATACGTGCTTACATGGATGCTCATCAAAACAGTCATTCTGACATAATTTTGTGTGCATTTGCTCAAGAAGACACAGAAGAGAACTCAATTTGGTACTCACATGTTGTCCGAGCTGTGGCTTTTTGCGTGTGTGCGCACATAAACAATCTGTCACAGCGTGTGAGTACCGCATCTCTTTCAAGGTGTTTTGCGCTTGAATGGCTTAAAACACTTTAATGTTTAAACTGACAAGACGTAAAACACGTGAGAATGAAAAACTTTCTTGAGGAAGCAGCACTAACCTGATCATTAAGATGTCCTGTAAACAGCAGGCAAGCTAACTGTAAAATATGTTATATATCACTAATGGTGAACGAGCCAGTGTAATGCAAATATATCTGAAAGGTCTGACATAGCAATAAGATCTTACATGAACGATATTGTATGAAGCATTGTTTGTTTACATCACGTTGCACCTCGCGTTATGAAAACAATGATCATACCACGATCAAAACTTTGTGATGTAGACATTTTGATCTTTGATATTCATCCAAATTATGGTGAAACCCAAAAAATGTGTGTGTTTAAAAAGTAAAGACATGCTTATATTCATTATCTGACAAACGAACCAAACCAACCCTGTGATGTTACATGCTGTGGTATTGCAAGATGGCGGCATCCTACGTGAATTGTGTTTGTTATGTATTTTTTAATTAAAGCAACACTATGTAGTTTTTTTTAACCTTAAAATAATGTCTCTAAAATTATTTCAGTGGTAGAACAACTCTTAACTGGACGAATTCTACTGCAGCTGCTACCTGAGCAGCCTCCTAGCTGCTACAACCACACTCTGCAAGTTTCGTGTTAAGGGTCGGTACACACAGCCCCGTCCATCCCCTGCCAGTGGAAGAGTGCGACCTGCTTTACGGCATAAGTCACGTATTTTAATCGTAACCTTGGTGGAGTTAGCCAACAGCTAACTATAAGACGAAATGATCTAATATGCAAGTCTCAAAACCAATGCCATGGCAGAGCCAGCAAAGAAACCAAAGAGGGTTTTGTCGGAGGAAGCGAAGAAAAGAGAGAGAGTGATCGGACATGAGGCCGAACACGAATCAATATCGGACGGGCTTACACTTGGTGGCGCGAGCTGAAAGAGGCAACGGTTGCAAAACGGATGGAGACCTAGCCTTCCTGCTACTGGATGGTGTAATGATATTTGTAGAACATAGTGTAACAGGCTACACTGTAAAAAAAAATCTGTGACATTTACGGTAAAATACAGGCAGCTGTGGTTGCCAGAACTTCACCGTAAAAAATATAGTAGCAACATTTTAGGTTTTACAGACTTAACTTGAATTCACAATAAAATACTGTATTTCATTAACTGATGTAATGTTAATAAATTAACATATTGAAGTATTAATTATTAAGTATTAATTGGTTTTGAACCATTGTAATGCACTGATAACCACCAAAAACTGGTGGTGATAAGAAAGTCACATGATGAACCAAAGCTCATCACAAACAGCTTTTCTACAAGCTAAGGAGGGCAATACGTTTATATAGAAGGTGCACAGTGTCATTCACACAAACACTAAACCCCATCATGGTGACACACATGATACTGAAATAATGCAATAAACATTAATTTAACAACGTTAGATGTAAGATTAAACCCTAATGTACACAACTGATAAGAAAAAACATGTTATTTCAACAAAAAAACATCAAATATGAAGTGTCATGCAGGGAATTCTGGGAGTGTCAATTTACGTTTTTTCACTGTAAAAACTGTATTTTTAACAGTATTTTACTGTAAAATTACATTAAATGTAATTACATTTATTCACCAAATATAGTAAGGAAACTTACTGTTAACCAGTTAACAGGTTTTTACTGTAGCATTTTTACAGTCTTTTACTGTTAAAATCACAACAATTTTTTACAGTGTACTTTACCTGGTCGGTAGACATGGTTTCCAAATGAGGTTTCTGCATTCACCAGTTCCGTCAGCTAAGTCAACAAATTCACATGTATTGCATTGCCCACGGGGAAGCTTATACAGTGATAGTATTTACGACACTGGTAACAGACAATTGTGCTTATCAACCACATGGAGGAACCATGAGCAAATGTTCCATGGTGTTGCTTTTAAGTGGAAATCAGTTTACTAAATGTAATCTTGACTGTCTTACTTCCAATTTAAATAAAGAAGTGGACAAGATTCGAAGAAACTCCACAAACTTAAACTCCACTGGACCAAGCCCAGGAGGAAGCCATTCCAATAGGACACTGTAAGTCCACTGAGGCATAAGCCAGGGCTGTAGCATCTATTATCTATTGGAGAGCTGTAAAGATTCTCATCGAGAGACCAAACATGAAGGGTCCACAGCTCGGGTTCTCTCGCTTGGGAGAAGAGGTCCTACCTCAACGGGGTTGGCCAAAGGGCTGCTGACAGCAGCTGAATCAACATCTGGTTCCTCCAGAGTGGGGCCACCAGGAGGACAGAGTCCCGCCTAATGACCTGAGAAAATAGGGCAATTGGAAGGAAGGTATACAGGACAGCACTGGGCCAGTCATCGGTCAGAGCATCTTACTGCTTCTAGAAATAAGTTGGACAATGAGAGTTGTCTTCTGGGGCGAAGGGGTCCACCTCTGCCCTCTCGATGGCTGACCAAATCATCTGAGCCACTTGAGGGTATAGTCTCCATTTTCCTGGAGATACATTGACCCGGGACAGCATGTCCACTCCCTGGTTCAGTCTGCCCGGCACGTGAACCACCCTGAGTGAACGCAGGATGCAATGTGTCCATAGAAGAAGGCACCTTGCTATCCTGTAGAGGGAGTGTGACCTGAGACTGCCTTGGTGATGGGCTACCACCATCATGTTGTCAGAACGGACGAGGATGTGGTGCCCCTTCAAGGCTAGTAAGAAGTTTTTTTAGAGCCAGAAAAAACGTCATTATCTCGAGACAGCTGATATGCAGGCCTTGCTCCATGCTGGACCGAAAGCCGAATGCTGATTTGCCCTTGTACAGTGCTCCCTAACCCGAGCTGGAGGCATCTGTTGTGACTACTTTCCTTCTGGAGGTCAGTCCCAATGAAATGCCTGTCTGATACAGGCAAGGGCTTTCCACAGCTCTGATGCAGTGGTGGGTCACCTTGAGGCAAAAGCATCCCAAGCGCCAACCAGGCCAGCATGTGGGCCGAATCGATAACCGTTCCCAGGAAGATGACCCATTGGCTGGGAGACAGAAAGCTTTTGAGCCCAATGCACTCCAGGAGGCTGAGCAGCAGCGAACTGTGAGCAAGAAGTTCCTGCTCCGATCCGGGCCAGTCGTTGACGTAATTCATAATGTGGATTCCCATCTGTCTCAGAGGGGAAAGTGCAGTGTCCAGAACTTCGTAATAGTGTGTGGGGCCAGAGACAGTCCGAAAGGCAGGACTAGATATTGATAAGCCACCCCCTCAAATGTGAATCTCAAGAATGGTCTGTGATAGGGGGCTATCTGGATGTAAGCATCTTTTAGATCCACTGATAGAAACCAGCATTCATTAAGAAGGTGATCTGCGAGTGAAACAGGGTGAGACTCATGCTCTTGCAGTGAGAGCAGTCTGTCTTAGTGAGTGCAGCCTTAGTGTGGGCGTTGCCCAGGCAAGTAATGCACTCACTATGGCTGTCTGAAGCTTGCAGGGGTGCCCTGCATGAGCCAGATTCAGGGGTGGGCTGGGACAAAAATTCAGCCCTGGCACTGTAGCCACACCGGCCCACATTACAACACCGACACAGCCCCACCCATGGACACACACATTCACTACTTACATTTGTCTACAGATGGTGAAATAATATAAGAAGTACCATATATGTAACAGATATTTAAACATTTAATGTATGTGTCTGGCAAATAATGTTTACTACTTTTTAAAGAGCACACGTTAATAACAAATTTACACATACAGTAAAAACAAAAGAAAAAGAATCTGAGGGTGTTGTAGAGTCTGTGTGATGTCTGTTTATGCCATTTGTCTGCTGTTACTGTCATTCTCTACAGTATGTTGTTCTTTGTGGTCACTGTCTGTCTGTTGGGTTTTTCCTACCTCTACTATACTCCTCCTTGTCTCTGCTAGG